AACTCATTTCTAATGTATATGTACCTGTATACATGCCTATATATAACACCAATATTATTAACTTCCCCCCACAGCTCCCCTCATCCCGACAACCCCACCACCGCCACCACCAACGACCCCTGCCCCCGTCATCATCCCCAGTGCTGGCCTGTGCGCGGCCGTGGGCTCCGAGCCAAGCCGTGTCCTGCTGGTGCCCCATCCCCTAGAGTGCGACAAGTTCGTCCAGTGCTACTACAACCCCAGCAACGCTTTCGAGCTGGGCGTTGTCCGACAGTGCCCCATGGGACTGCACTGGAACCGTGTGGAGAACAGGTGCACCAACGTCACTGCTGCTCAGTGCCCGTATGGTGAGTAGAGCCGATTGACTGCTCTGATTAACCCTTCCAGCCCCCTGTGCGTATATTTCCAACAGCGCTTGTGCCTCCAACCCGTCCCAAGAGCGTATATTCTCAATTTCGGGGAATACCGAATTTGCGCATTTTTCGAAATTAGCGAACCTAATTAAACTTTAGTTTTCATAATATTTGTTCATTTACCTTTAAACATTGCTACATGTTATTATCTAAACCTCTTTACAAAGATACTACATCATTTTTTAGAATGCATGCCTCTTTTTCTGAAATACTGTTGTAGTGGCTGGGACTGGGGTTAAGGAGAACACAAAAATGGTAGGGGCTAGTAGGGTTAAAACTCCGACATACGTCACTTTTATGAAATGGCGTTTGGCGGAGAGGAGACTTACACATCAACGGCCTTGATGATGACATTGGTCGTACTCTTGTTATCTCCACCATGGCGCTTCATCTCTCGAACTATCTTTTCAAATATAGATGTACCAAGGGCAGTAACACACATAAACATGACCTTTTATGTAACAGCTGCAGAGTGATTTACCCTGGTTGAAAAAAAATCTTTGATATCGGCATACTAATCGGCATTTCCGAATGGGGAAAGATTGTATAATAATATATTTCTTATAAAAGGGTGGAATTGTACATTTAAAAGCATCCTTGCCCGTATTTCTCTTTCTCTCTCTCCCTCCCTCCCTC